AACAAGCAACTGACCTCAGATGGTGATGACTTCTTCTCAGAAACAGATGGTGTCGGTTTCTCAGCAGGCACGGATGGTGTCTCCTTGACAGAGGAAGTTTCCGAAGCTTCAGATGATGATGGTTTGTCGGCGGCAGGTGCGGGTGATGGCTTTCTAGCATGAGCTTCCGATGCATTTGCCATCAAAGATTGCCTTATGAGGGAAACGCGATAGAAGTAGTTATGCCAGAATTTCTCTTCAGTCAGTCTGAAGGAGGCAAGTGAATTCACAGCATAATATTTGAGAAAGGAGTTAACCCTGCAAGTACTCACTGTTTGGGGACGAGCTCGAAACGAACGCGACTGAGGTTGGGATCGACCTCAAGGAGCCTCTTCGCCATAGCTTGCATTGTGGCATCGTCAAACTCACATTCTCCAGGAGATTCGCGAATAAAGTTGTGCTGATCCTTAAATACATATTTGTAGTAGATCCACAGACACAGTTCTGCAAATGTAGCTCGCTCGCTGGAAAGACGCCATTTATTCATTAACTTTATGATCATGCGCGAAAAAGAAGGTATTTGTACCCATCTTACAAGGAAAGGATACTTGGTGACCGCGTTCTTCTGCAGTGAGATGTACACCAGTAGATGCGCCTTGAAACGCTGGTTCCAAATCTATGTTCGTTATCTGCTGTGCTATTCTCTGAACGAAGTTACGGACTTTTTTCCAGATTAATTTCACGAGATCTAGGCAGTCCGAATCGTCAGTATCCAGGCTTTTTAGACAAGACAGTTTTCCTTAGCTTAACGTAAACCTATATTTTATCTGGACGCTCTTTTGTAGTGAGTAAGTGGCGATTCCAACGATATTGGTGAATTCTGTCATCAAAATTGTGCAAATTTTGGTGGCAAGAGATGCTCATAACTTGTTTCGGAAGAGCGCGCAGAGATATCGAAAGCAGATTTGGAATCAGCGCTCCAAAATGCATCTAATGGTGAGGGTTTCCTATTAAAAAGCCACGGTCACCAAGTATCCTTCTTTTGTTAGTTCCATCTAGCACACAAGTTGCTAACAAGGAAACGATACTTAATGTCCGTGGCCGTTTGAGATGAAATGTGTACCATTGTACTCGTGTTTGAACGCTGACCCCTAATCTGTCCTCCGTTTCTGCTAATCGTTTCTTTGAAAGAAGTTATGAAGGAAGCCCTATTGAAATATGGTTGGCGCATAACTATGTCATAAATGCTGTGGTGTAGTGGTTAGTGCGATAGACTCATAAGCTGATGTAGGTGTAGGTTCGAATTCCTCTGTGTGTAGTTTTGCATTGCCTCGTTGAGCTTCGTTATGAAAGTTAGGCATCCCCGAGATAAATGCATGCCCTAATTCTTCACAAAAAGTTGGAAAATTGAAAAAAAAATGATTTCCATTCACGCTAAAATGTATTCATCAATCACATTTCGAGTTAAATTTACTCGAACAAAGCGAACAAGCCATTAGCAGGTGAGTCATGCACAAGACGATGCATGGCTTGCACTTTTTGACCCACCTTTTGGATTATGTTGGAAACATATAAAAAAATTTCTCCTCGTTGTCTTTTCAAAGAGTTAGGGCACGCATTTACCTCGAGCATGCCTAACTTTCAAAAGGAAGTTCACTCTAGTCAACGCAAAACTGTAAAACACAAGAGGATTCGAATCTACACCTGCATCAGCTTGTGAGTCTATCGCACCCACTACACCACAGCGTTCCGGCCGCAGTGTTGCGCAAATCGTATTTCAATAAAGCATCCTTCATAACTTCTTTCAGAGAAACGATTAGCAGAA